GCTGATCCAATGGTCTTCCTGTGTCGAAAAAGCGGTTGATCGTACACTCTGCCAGCAACAGGCCAAGGATCCATTTGTTTACTCACAGAGTTCACTGCCTAAGAATTTTAGAGGTCGCTGCAAAAGTCCTAAACCACTCCGACTTCTGCCATCTCGCGCACCGCGCAAAGACAGCACTGGTCTCTACGAACCTCCCATTGAGGTCACTTCAGTCAAAAGCCGTCAGAAAGTTCGCCAGGTCCGTCGCTTACGATGTTTAGAGAGACTTTACAGAAAATACCGCCTCGAAGATTTCCCCTGTGACCACTGGCAATTCCTGCCATCGTATCCAGACTTAATTCTTGCATGGCAAGCAATCCGCAGGGCAAATGGTTACGGACACTCCTGGGTTCATTGGCTCTTGCAGTTCGACGCCATCACCTGTGTCACTGTTGACCTTCCATCTTTTGACTTACTCTACTGCGTTCGACAGATCACACAATATGATGCAGATCTCTATTGCACTCAGGAAGCCAAGCTTCGTCGACAGTCAATGAAACATGGTCTTGAATTAGACATACAGCACCGCTCCGGGTCAGAGTACTATAAACGTCTTAAAGCCAATGAAGTTCGCGTTTTGCCAGGGTTTCCAGTGCACACATGCGCTCAAGCGACCATCCGCCGAACCTCCAAAGGTCCTGTCACATTACTGATACATCAACCAGTGCAGTTCCGGTTATTCGCAGCTGCTCGCTTTGGTACCGCTACCCTCCGTATCATGGAACAACATGATAATCACCTTTCTTGTCAAGTCTTACAAGGTGTCGTCCCATCTCATGGTGAGCTCATTCAGGAAGTATATGCATTTGAGGTTGCTGAAATGGCCGGCCCTTTCGCGGAGTACTGGTCACAATATTGGAGCCGTGATACGTCCATGGAAGAAGAAACAGACCACCCATGGACCAGCCTACTTCAGTCATTGTGTGATCGTATCCCACCTTGTGCACCTTTGCAGGTTACCTGGGATGATCCTGGGATTTTGGCCAATACTATTCGTCGTCTTAAGCCTTTTAAAGCAGTGGGTGTTGATGGTTGGAGAGCTGAGGAGCTCCAGTCTCTTCCACATGCCGCCGTGGTTGACCTAGCTAAAGTTCTTGGCACCTTGTGGCCCCGCGGGTTATCTACACACCAGCTAATAGCCCGAGTGATTCTGTTGGCTAAACGTAATCCGCCCACAGCCATTACAGATGGGCGCCCCATTACCATCCTGGGCTACGTGAGTCGTCTCACATCCAAGCTGATAGCGGACCAACTTTTACGTCACTGGGCATCCGCCTGGCCAAGTGCAATCTCTGGGGGGTTACCCCTACGTGGTGTACAAGACATTACGTTCCAGCAACAGTTTCAAATAGAATCCGCCAAGAAAAGATCACTACCCTGGCGAGGATTCACACTAGATCTTGTCAAAGCATTTAACTTGTTGCCGAGAAGAGTCCTATATCATCTCTTTGTGTATCATGGAGCGCCACCGGATTCAGTTCGCTTTTGGTTCATTAATCTTAAAAAAATGACCAGGCGACTCCAGGTAAATAAGGCAGTAGGACCAACGATTACTATGACCACCGGGGTTCCGGAAGGTGACAGTCTGTCTGTTTGCGCCATGCTGGTTGTGTCATCCGCCTTCTACTGGACACTCCAATCTCCCAGTGTTTATCCCTATGCATATGCAGATAATTGGTCATATCTTACTACAAGTCAGCGTGATAACATCGTTGCTTTCCGCAAAATCCAGCACTTGGTTGAAGCTCTGCGCATGCAAATTGATTTTGCAAAGTCCTGGGCATGGGGGGCCACAACTGACGCACGGGAAGAGTGGAAGCAATTTCTCCAGACAGAATCCCCTCAACTGAATCAGGTCTCCATCCTCAACTCTACTAAGGACTTAGGATGCATGACGCACTATACCAATCACATCACTTTAGGGCACCTCAAGACCAAGATCACTAGTGCAATCCAACGGTGCAAACGTATTCGATTCTTTCGCACAGATATCCTCCAGAAGGCGCGCTTTATTCAAACCGCCGTGTGGCCACATGCATTCTTTGGAGCAGAGCATCAGGTTGTGGGCGAGAAGCACTTCCGCACACTCCGACGTGAAGCAGCCACTGCGCTTATTGGACCCGAATCTCAGATCTCCAGTTGGCTCGGGGTCCATGCATTCAGCCCCCAACTTCAAGACCCCTTGCTTTATGTCATATCCACTGCGCTGACCTTCCTGCGCCGCCTGTTTCATTCCAACCCGTCATTGGCGCAAGATTACTTGCAGGCCGTCATTAATCATACCGGACCTGCCGTGGGTCCTGCAGGAGCGCTAGCACGCTATTTAACTTTAGTTGGGTGGTCCTTGACGGCTGATGGGCGTCTCACCCTTGACGGCTATCTCTCAGTGTCTATCCGGCATGATGCCCTCAAGCAGATTCGTCAAACCCTCAGACAAGCATGGACGTATTATCTCCATCGACAAATTTGTCATCGCAAGGGAGTACCATCAATCCCCTTTGACTTTAAAATCTTATCCCGGGTCCTTCGGTCCATGTCTCGAACTGATATTCGCCAGGTTGCCTATAACCTTACAGCAGGTTACCAGGTGGGGGCAGTTAAAGCACTGTGGACGTCTACTGAGAACCCTAACTGCTCCTTTTGTGGTCAACCTGATACCCATGAACATCAACAACTGCATTGCCCGGCATTTCAACATGTCAGGCAGCATCACCCACAGGCAATTTCCTACTTGACCAGCTCTCCGCATAAGTTATGGATGCCCCTTCCAGTGTCATTTCCAGATATTGCAACCTTGCGTCAACTGTTTACCTATCGGGGACATTCCACGGAACACACCTCGATCTTTCTCCAGAACAATGTCCTCTTTTTCTATACGGATGGATCAGCCGATACCCCTCTGCAGACCGAAACAAGGCGAGCAGCATGGTCCGTTGTTCAGTTTCGGCCGGACTCCGACACCACCCCGTTCTTAACCATCAAAATTCAACATGTTCAAGGTACTCAATCGATCGCTCGGGCTGAACTAGCCGCCATTGCTTGGATTGTACAGCATGTCTCTAACCATCAGTGGCCCCACCAAGTCATTATTACTACTGATTCTCAGTATGCCATTAATGCCATCCAACAGGTAACACAGCCTACTGGTACTCCGCCCTGGCACCATCTTGCCAATGCGGACCTTTTGAACATTATTGCAGAGAGTTGGGTCCCCTCACAATTCTTGCTTCGTAAAGTGCGCTCACATCAAACCATTGAGGATTTGCCTCCGGGACCGGAAAGAGATGATGCTCTAGGCAATTTTTGGGCCGACCACGCAGCAGTGCGCGCCAGACTTACTGATCATGAAGTCGTTGACAACCTCGTTCAACGTGCTACCATATGGCATGAAGACCAATATCGACAAACCAAATGCATCCTTAAATACCTCGCTGATCTCAATCGATCTCATGTTCAGGCTAAACAGCGAGAACCACATCTACATGGTGCCCACAGTCATCATGATGACAGTTCTGACTGGAATACGCTGCTAAGACTTCGGGAAAGCTACACTGTCTCACCTCCTTTTCAAGTATTCCAGCCAGATATTCATCCTGCATTTCTTACTGCCTGTGTCTGGGGCAAACAGTATGCAGACTTGGTCCTTCAGTTTTGCGCTGCGCTAAAATGGCCTCAATCCGACATTGATCATACAGATCCTCATCTTCTTGCAGGTATTACCTGGCATGAATTGGCCCTCGCATTCATAGTCAACACGGGAATCCAATTCCCCACCTGGCTTCGTTTAGCAGACAATCAACGAGCACAACCATTCCATTGGCAAGATGCGAGAGTGCTGGCCCTCCCCATCCCTAAGCGTTCCCTTCGTGCACAGGCCGAAGCATTCAGGACCATCGTGCTCTATCTCCAGGGCTATACCAGTACACCACTACTTCCGCACTACTCCAAGCAGGGTTCGCGCAGCCTTGCTCAGATCGGCTGGGGTCGTCAGTATACTGGAGGTTTCCCACTCCGACCCGAATTGCCTAATTCCCCGGCTGTCCAGAAGACATTACTGCAGTATACCACTGATCTGCATTGCAAGCCACCCTATCACCCGGATGGCTTGGTACCCATGGGACACGTCGCACCGATATTCACAACTGATGTCGCCGCCCCACTGACATTCCATCAGGCTTTCTTATACCGCAGGAATCTTCGTAAAGTCTGGAACAAGCATGGTGATCTTTCGTCCGTGCCGATTCCAGCTGCACCTAATTAGGAATTTACTTATCTTGAGAGCAAGCGCGGATATTCGGTCTCACATAGGTAGTTGCTACGCTTTGGTTCACTTTGTATAGTAGTGTTCTTATCTTACAACAAGATACTGACCAGACTCCCTGACACCCGTCACCTTGACGAAGGGTCATGGGAAGCGGCATGGATAGTCCGCAAGCAGTGTGAGTAGTATGGCCAGGAGCCCCTATATAGGAGCTTCTTGTTACTACTAGCTTCTTGTTACTACTAGTAAGGCACTTGTTACTAGTAGCGATGCACTTGTTCCTGATAGCTTCTTGTTACTAATAGCTTAAGGTCATCAACAATCCGCCGAATGTCCCGTCCATCGGTCCAACATCACACCGACCCGACCAACATCACGTCGAAGAACCCGAAGACGCACCGTTTCGCACTTCACGTGGAAGGCTTCGTTTCCTCGAATCTGAGCCGAAGCAGACGATGGCCACGACACGGCACGACCTGCGGCCCGGTTCTTCCGTCCTGGGATTCGGGTTGCGAGCTAAATCGTGCGCGGTGACAAAAAAGGACCTTGGAGCGTACCAGCCACAGAAAGCTGAGTTGTGAAAGATGGACATTTTGAAGCTTCTTCTGACAACCTGCAGCCACCTGCAGCCCCTCGGCTTGGAGCTATACATTCTTTCCACCCAGAAGTGGCCTCGTTCGACGTGCGGCGTTCCACCGCCATGGCATTTCAGCCGAGAGACTACCAGCTGAAAAGCCTCGATGCGGTCCGACAGAAGAATACCATCGTGAGCTTGCCCACAGGCGGAGATGCCATGTGGACAGGGTACCCAACAATCCTTTGAATTGCCGCTGGAATCGAACGGAATTTTTGTCCGAGCTTCCGGGCAATCTACCGATGTGGAGATTGGAGATTGTGATATTTGGAGAGAGATACTCGACTACCCCCTGCATTTGCTTGAAACAGGTGTCCCAGGTCGTGGTGATGAAAGAATGACCAAAAGAAATCCCTCCGGTTGCACTTCACAACTCTGTTTGGAATAGAACTATGTTTTCTCTCCTGAACAATTGGGTGGGAACTCTGGGAGGCTTTGGTGGATTGAACTCCACTGATGACCCCAGGTTCGTCGCGGAAAAGAAAAGAATCACAATCGAAGGGAAGGCCTTTTCACCACTCACCTTCCGAAATTCCAAGCAGTCACTCGGATGACCACCTTAAGGTTTAGGGCCTAGGGATCCAGGCCTACTAGGGGCTCCTGGCATCGCTACTAGGAGCACGGACGCTACGAACGGGGCTCCTGGCCTTACTAGGAACAAGAACGCTACGAACGGAGCAAAGGAGAGAGAGAGGGGTAGGTGGGTCTCTCTTTTGCTTCACCACTCACCGTCGGCGATCGACGGGCGATCTGCTCGCCGTCCGGAAAGACCACGGACGCGTCAGACCTCCGTTCCGTTCGGTTCGCGTCCTGCTCCGTTCGGTTCGGTCTACGGCCTTCGTCGCCCCGGCCCTCGTAGCTGTGTGTCCGTGTGTCCTTGCGTTCGAGACGCCCTTGGGCCCTTCGTTCCTAATCCCTCCGCCGTGTCAGGCGGCGGAAAGACCTTTGTGGCGGTCCTGGCGCTGGACCGCGGTGGAGAGGTGTCACTGGTCCTGCGGCGCCGGCCGAGGGGGGAAGGTCCTTTGGCATCCCACAAACATCGTGTAGGTCAAAGACCTCACAAACCCTGGGTGAACACTTCTGAAAAGGCAGAAACTATTCGTTCTCAGTGATCCACCAGGGTCCGTGTTGCTTTGGAACGTTCATCCACCCTTCAGCCACCGTGCTAGCGACCGGCACCCACCGGTGGCATATCCAGGGAATCCAATCCAAATGCCTTCAGAAGCTTCACCTTACAACTGGAGAGGCCGTGTGAAGCTTTTTTTTTCACAAGCCTTTTGGCTGGCGAGGCCATGTGATCTAAAAAAAGAAGGACTGCCTTCGTTCACTAGCTAGAGGATAGTACGGAGTGGTGGCATCCTTCCAAGTGCTCTTGTTGTGCATCAAAGCGGAAGGTGCTCAATCAATCATACCATCTTCAAGATCAACCGAAGTTTTTAGTGTAAAGCAAACACAGAGAGACAGAAACAAACATTGTGAGCCCCAAATCATCACTATAGCATACTGTTAGCCCCAAATGGAGCCAGTTTCGTGTGGCGCACCTGTCTTCCACACGAGACACGGGGAGCGCCTTCTTCGCTCCGGATGCGACCGCCGTCGCCCTGCGAGGACCACTTTCTGCGAGATGGCCTGAAGGCCATGTTCGTGGTGCCAACGCGTCACCTGGACGATAAAAGGATCGGCACAACAACTCACCTAGTCCCGGGATGCGCATATAGGGATTTTGGGGGGGGAAGAAATAGGGGGATGTCCTGAGGGGGTAAGACCATGTGGGAGATGGGGAAGCCTTCCCTTCAGTCAGGAGAGGAGGCTTTTTCTCCAAGGGTTCAAGAGGTTGAGGGTTCTGGGGCAGTCGAAGCTTTTTAGGGGGTGTTCTGGGGCGAAGACTACAAGACCACAAGACCACTGTGCAGTCTAAGGGGATGAATTTGGGAGACTGACGGGTTTTTGCATTGAACTTCGGATGCTGCAATGAGGTGCCTAGAACGTTCCGGTCTGGTCTACAGAACGTTCGCCAGCTCGTCTCTTTTTGAATGAGCAGAAGAAAGCAGATCTAGAGCCTAGAAGTAAGCGGAGAAGATCTATCCCCAGCTGCTCACTTTGCCACGCCAATCCCAAGGCGTCTTGGTGCAGCAGCAGGCGCAGTACTGCCGCGATCGCTGCCAACTGCGCGTCCGCGTGGTGGAGCTGTCGGGCGGTGAAATGGAGTCTTGGGACGATGGCAGGCGCCAGCTGGCTCAACTTGTGGAGCATGGGCGGAGCATGGTCTACTTTGGGCGGCGAGGGAATCGGAGGATCATGGGGAACTTCCGGTGGAGTTGGGAAGAGCCTCTTCCTCTGACCTGGTGATTTCTGCGTTGCTGCGGGGAAAGTATGGTGCCAGAGCACTATATATATATATATATATAGTAGTCACTATATTTAGGAGTTAGAAAGATGATCCTCCATGTATGAAGATGTTGTACGTTATGTTACGGGATCGCTTGGTATGAATGAGGAGAGCTTCACTCGTCCCACCGCAGGCCCGTACTTAAGGTGGGCAATAGTAATGGGGCCACCCACACGGTTGAAGCAAGTTCTTTTGCAGGGACTGATTCAAAAAGGATTGGAAGCCTCACACGTGGGGGCATGGTCCAGATGTGTTGGTCGCCTTCATCGATCAGGTCTTTGCCGGTCACTTCCTCGTTTTTTATATATGCAAATGTGCTAAACCTTCACAACTACAGGAGCTTTGAAGAGGGTCAGCTCGAAATTGGTCAACTCCAAAACATGGTTCCAGTATTTCCGAAGGTGCGTGACGTTTGGATGGTTTTTTTAAAGAGAAACATACCGTGTCAGACTCGGTCCCGGAGGTGGCGGAAATGCTTGCAAGCTCACGACGTCCTCGTCGGCACGTGCCGAGTCGGCAGACTTGTCGAGGACTTTGTGCAAAAACATCGCCAATCATCTTAAAGCCAAGCCCATCCTTGGGGATGTCACTTTTGGTTGATGTGACACTGGTTGATGTGACACCTGTCACTTGGATCTCGATGGCGCACCACAACGCTTTCTTTTTTGAAGACAAAGCTTTTGGATGCGCAGCGATGAATAGCACATTGACTCGGAATCGCCCCATCGACTCAAGTGTTGACATCCCACTTTTGGGCATCGCTTTTTCGAAGAATTTGGCGAAGATCGGGGCTCCTGGCCTTACTACTAGGAGCTCCTGGCATCGCTACTAGAAGCATTCTTACTGCTAGTAACGAGAAGACTTTCCACAAGGATTGGATGTGGATCGAGCGCCGTTCCGTACGTGCGCCGGTGGAGTCGAACCAAGGCCTGAGGTGTTTCGGCGCGCGTTGGTGACTGGGCGGAGAGTGAGGCTTCCGGAAGATGTTTAAGCAAGAGCAGAGCGCATAGTGTAGGAGCTTCTCATCTCATCAAGCTGCTACTCTGATGTTGGTGCAGTGCACAAGAGTTGTGTGTTTCTTGCTTTCTAGTCTAGCACCCCGTGAACTCCCAGCACTGGCTGTTTTGACGGAGCCCCAGCACTGCTCGCCAGCTTGCAGTCTACCTTTGAACCGAGCCAACAGCGATGTAGGGATCTCTTGATGACTTGGAAGGACAAAGCGAGGATTTGGGGGAAAGGCGACTCAAGTCCTTTGCGTTCCGAAGCTTCAGCTGAGGTGGATTGCAAATTTCTATCACCACTGGACTTTTCCATCATCATCTTTGATGAGTGCCCCAGCAGAACGGAGCGAGGGAGAAGAAAGCAAAACCACTCAGAGACGGCAGCTCAAAGAGCGGCAAATTTTGTCACTATCATGGTGGTCATTTTTCCGACAGGCTGTATCACTATGATGCTTGTCATGTTGACGACTTACCACCTATCGCTATATGGTTGCCGCTATGATGACTTATCACGATGGTTGTCACTATGACGACCTGAGTGCTTTACCGATGCCTGGATCGCCGCAAGGCGTTCGTTCGCGGCCGCCGCGAGTAACTCAGCCGAGCCGAAGATGTCGAGGTGTCACAACGCCACCGGGAATTCTCCCATGGCCGCGATCATGAAAGATGCTGCATCTTGGGCGAACCAACAGAGGTTGAAGAACCCTATAGACTATCCTATAGGTACCCCAGTAAGGTCCTAGTTCAGGTCACTTAACCTCTCTTGGAATATATTCGGATGTCTTTTCCGGACGCAACATCAGGATGGCATGTTACATGCCAAACCAGAAAGCAAAGACCAGTTTTTTTTTTGCAGGCTCAAGGAATAGGTGTGTCAGAAAAGAAGCGGGTCAGCTTGGGATATGAGCCCCAGTCCTATGTCCTGTTTGGCGAACGCATCTCTTTCTCGTGAGGTGTGGAAAGTTCAAGGGCAGCAACGAAGCTCGGTCAGATGCCGGAGGAGTGTTCCTTGGGAAGATTAAGATCCTATGATGTCGACACGGCATACTCATCAGAATGCATAAGATACATCTACCAGCAGTCACAAAGGGGTGCGATCCATGGAGGTTAGGTGTGCCCATTATTTTTAGATATACAGTACATCATGAGTTTGTTTGGCACAAGCGTGCACAGTCAGCAACTGTTCTGTCTACCGCCAGATCTTTTGGCACCATCCAAGCAGTAAAGCCCACACAAGCCAGGTGTATGGCCTCCCTATCAATCCCCTCTGATTCGGAAAACGCATCGAACTAGCCATGGCCCAAAACAGAGGAGTCGCTGGGACATGAGTTGGTGTCATTGTCCAAGGGCATCGCTACTAGTAACAAAAAAGGGCAATTACTACTCGTAGCAAATAGCTATTAGGAGCAAGAAGCTACCAGCAGCTTCTGGCCAACCTACCAATTAGTAACAACAAGCTACTAGTAACAAGAAGCTACTAGGTTGGAGGCCATAGCACGTAGGAACAGTCACTTAAAGAAATTCACTGGTTCCACACGGAGGCGGAGTGTGTTCAACGCTCCAAAACGCACGCTCCGTCCTTCGCTCTGAGGAAGTCCCAGAATACTGGGCCTCACGGCGAGTTTTGTGAATGGTAGCTTGAAGAATCTGGAGCAGAAAAGGCAGCAACTGGAGACCTTGCTGCAGGCGGAAAAGCAAGGGGGAGCAAGGGCGAATGCGTGCGCTCGCGTGCGGAGGCGGGGACGGTGGGCGAGAAGCTTCTTGTGTGTAGAGAGTCCGAACCGATTGAAAGGCTCTCACCACCTGTCTTACCTCCAAGAACAATCAGCACAACAAGACCCTTCGGTGTAATCCATTGATCCTCCAATCTGTCACCCTCTTGTGGCGGGATGAAAAGGGTGTTTGCAAAAACCATGCAACAGGACATCAAAGACCCTGCAGCTCCATGGCCCTGCTTGATATACAATATATGCCCTTCACCTGACGATTTTCGCCCATGACCTCACCCCGCTCCACGCCCGTGCCGCAGTCACCAGTCACCCCCTCCATCGCCCCCCCAGGCGACGCTCTTCTGCCCGGAGCGGCGGCTCCAAGTTCCGACGCTCGGGTGGCGAGTGAGTGGAGGGAATGAAGGAATGAGGGTGGGGAGGGGAAAGGACCTCCAACCGGTAGGAATGGCCTCCAACCTAGTATGAAATGGCCTTCAACCTAATAGTTATAGTGAATGAGTGAATGAGTGAGCAAGAAGTAGAAGAATCAAGTCTATTATAGAGTTGGTATAGGTGGGAAGGGGGAGAGGAAGTGGCGCTCACATTGAGCTGAAGGTTTATTTATGTGTCCTTTTCTTGTAGCATTTCGTAAGTGAAACAGTAGGTTCAAGACTTGATCGTCGGTGTCTTTTTCCCGAATGCGTAGCGAAGGGTTCTCGTTTAACTCTTGGGGGTCTGGGGGTAGAGCCTTGTTCGCGATCCGTTGTTTCTACGTCCGCAACCGTCCGCAACCGTCCGGAACCGTTCGCAGTAGAGCGCTAAGGCGCTGCCATTGGGAGAAGCTTTTGCAAGTGACTTTTCATGGATGTGTCACGTGTCAGTTTGCGACGCTATTCCGTGATTTGCATGAAAATGACACGTCGCGCAAGAAGCGTGATGCACTTCGCTGCACAGGCGCAGCGTTTTGTGAGATCCGCAGGTTGCTACGCAGTTCCATTAGGATTAGCGTTTGGAGAGTCGTGTTCTTGGGGTGTTGGACATGGCCGTGCCATTGGGATTTGCGTTTCAGGGTGTGGCATCGAAGCTCTGTTTTCGTGACAAGTCTCAGCTGAAATGCCGGTTTTGGTGGATGGGAGTGTGCTCAGAACGCGTCGAAATCATTCCAAGCGTGTGGTGTGGTGCAAATTTTGTTGAAGCTGACATGAGATGATATTGTCACTTTTCGTGGCAGGCGCAGTACTTTGTGTGGGTTTTGAGGCGTGGAAGTGCGATTCTCGTGGCAGGCGCAGGGAATGGTGAGGTTGCGAGGTGTGACGGAGGTGACATTTCGTGGCAGGCGCAGTACTTTGTGCGCATTAGACATGTGGATGGAGAAAGATTCGTGGCAGGCGCAGGGAATTGTGAGGTCGTGAGTTGTGGTAGAAGTGAATGTCGCTGTCACAGTGGGATTGGCGTGTGAACGGGTGTTGTTTGGAGGGGCTGGACTCGCGAAACTGCTTGGCAGGGCTGCGTGATGTGTGTGCTCCGATGGGTGTTTCTGCTTGACTTTTGGAGGAAGTCTCGTACGAAATGCTCGTTTTGCAGACTTTGACATGTGACTTTTGGAGGAAGTCTCGTACGAAACGCTCGTTTTG